GGCTATCATAGTTAAATTTGCAATCTTTCGCTAAATGTTTGTTTCGTTTTATTTGGTCCATTTACATTTAATATATTTTCATTTTCTTTTTTTAAGCACGCAGCTTGGAGTTGGTACGAGATACATTCGAACGGGCCATCTCTCATGTCCAAAATTGTTAGTGCTTGTCCTTACTAAGTACTTAAGTATTAATTGTTTTATTAGGTACTTGATAATTAATTAAATACTTCATTCACTATTTTCAGGTTTCGGTCCATGTGGCGATAATGACGGATCCCTTTTCAAGCGTTGGGCATATTTTGAAGTTTGTCTATCTTATTTAATTATCTTGGTCTATAATATGTTTTTTTTACAAAAAATATCAAGATCTCAAAAGTGTGCTTCTTATTATTCATTTTATTACCTAGGCCTTCTTCCCTTGTTTTCTATGTAATCTTTAAATGAAGGTATCTCCCACGTTTATTTTCGAGACTCGCAACTATAGCAAACTGGTGGGCTTTCATCTTTTTCCAAATTTGAGTAAAAACTTTATTTTTCTGATTAGTCAGTCATTCATTTAATGATTTGCCTTTTAATTTAAAACATAAAACCCTTAGTCAACTAGTGTATACACTTATTTTGCTATTTTTTTACTTTATTGGTCCTCCTGTTTATTTGTAATCTTTCCTTTATATGTGACCATGTGGTTTATACACATAACTTTGTGCATCTGAAATCATATATTCTTTATTATCTTAATCAGGCATGTCACGTTAGGGATCTGCCACGGGCTCGTGCCATCTGGGTCCGCCTCATGCAGATTGGACACAATGGTCGTCGGGGAGATTTATGGATCGATCAGATCAACTTTGAGCGTGACCTTGCACTTTTTCTTTCTGGACAGACGAGTGGCTTTCCAGCGAACCCTAGCACATCCGTTGTTCTTGCTGATTCTGATAACGATTGTATTCAATTTAAGCACCTATTACGCGTATGCAGCATGGCTATTAATTCAGTAAGCCCTGAAGTGGGGCCCTCAGAATTATCAATTTCACCAGCTCTCGTATTCGTCAGCGCCAATAGAGCTCTTGTTGAAACTGGCCTTAGTCTACCCCGGCTCCGCGAGTTCCTCGTAAAACTGCACGCAAGGTGCCGTCAGCTCGGTATACCGAGTCCCCCTGCTTCACTTGCCAGCCCTGCTGCTGATGTCATTGGTGGCTATGCCGAAAAACGAATGCTTCCTAAACCAATGGATGATGGGGTCGAACTGTATAAGGTGAGTAATCCGCATATTGACATCATAGGTCCTGTACATATTTGGTGGAAACTACACATTCTTAACATCGTCATCCACATTCGTAATCGCATCAAGCATTAAACATCTATCTGCTCGATCAATATCACGATATTTGTCGCATAATGCTCATTTTAGTATTTTACTAATACATATTTGTAAAATTTTCATAGATTATCTGCTTCCAGATGAGAAACCATCATTTTGGTCGCCTATTAATCGAAATTAACTTTTATTAGTGGTTTTTGTCTAGTTTATCTAAAACTGCCGGTTGTAAGACAAAAAAGAGACCCAGTTGATATTTTACATGCGATTGCCACTGATCCAGAGACCTTACTGAAGTTATGCCTAATTATCACTTTTTAACTTTCTGTGATCGACGTTATCTTGTAACTCAACTAGTCCATTCCCTCTACCTTCATGATCTCATCCATCACACGTTAACCTCCTATTCCATGCATACACACACAAATCCGGATTTGCCTCGTCTTGTCGTAAGAAGTAGTACACCATTATTATTACAAACCAAACATTCATAAAAAACAGATTTAATATTATTTTATTTGAAGTAAGTTGACCTTGTTGTCACAACTTGTCTTGTCTCTATGACGAATTCGTAGCATGGTGTGGAGAATGACAAAACTCACTGATGATGTCTACTATAGTGCCAGCGAAACGTTTGAGAATGTATCAAGTTCACTGTCTGGTGCTTGGAATCATAACAACTACTATGGCAAACGACTTCGGACTAGTTGCGTTCTATCAAGTCGCCCTGACAACAAGACCAAGTTGCGACAACGAGGTCCACCCACTTCTATAAATCGAAAGAAGACTGCGACTATACCAGAAGCCACAACATCTTGGTCTTCATATCTTCAATTATTTTATTTGCTTTCCTCCTTACTGAGCCACCGTCATGAACTATATTAGCACCCATTTCTATATCTCTCTCTTTTCTGCTTTTTTTAATTTTTATAGAGTTTTAAACCCACGGACAAACTCAACAATGAACTACTTCAAACATCTCATAAACCTTTGATGAGGCCTTCACAAATAAAAAAACGTAGGATGGATTCAGCGTCGGATAATGAAGCTGGCCCAAATCAAGCTAAACGGGTAATTATAATATCCATGTAGATATGAATAATTCTAAGTTGCTAGCTGAGGTTTTGTGGCAAATTAAATTAGAATGAAGTGCTTTCTGATTCCGACGACTTTTTGTATTTTGTCTATTTTCATCCTAAAATCGTTGACACTAATGGGTGTTTCCGTTCAGCTCCTCTTCTTTTATTCCTAGATGTAGTAAACTCAAATAGAAATTTCGTAGATTGGTGTTATTGTAGTTTTCCATGATTTAATGTCGCAACTATCAATAAGCAACCCCTTTCTACTAAAATTCTACGATTTGTTCTTGTCTTATTATTTCATCTTCTGTAATATGTTTTATTTTTGAAATGATATTCTAGGATAACTAGGAAAGC